AGAACAGGAATGGCTGCAGCTCAGGTGTTCTCCACCTCCTCGTTGTCATTACAGGACGAAAAAGATGATGAATGAGTCGTCTTGATATGGTAGCAAAGCTGGGCTTAAGTCTGACTAGGGTTTTTAGCTAGGAGCACTTCCTGTCACCTGTTCACAGCTGTGACTGTACTTTGTCTTCCCAGCAGAGTTATTCCACTTTGATCACTATATTCTCTGCTCCAAACTAACCTTTGACCTCAGTGTGACTGCAAAGCATGACTGTCAGCTGACTGATGTCCTGTGTGCGACCCACACACAGTGTGTGCGTTGATCGGGTCACACAGGACTCTCCATAAAGAAACTAATAATGGAAAATTTCATTTTAAAATAAAAATACAAAATAACAATAAATAATTTAAAAATAATGAGCCATGTGGAAGCCTGAAACGATTTATCGAGTAATACAGTTTTACCCAGAAACACTGAGAACACCACAGCGGCAGTGGTGAGGACTCTGGCACAGTTTAATGTGGAGGCAAAGTCTGTTTACACACCAAAGAGCAAAGAGGCGGAGCTCAGGCGAAGTGAAAGATAACAGCAGCTGTTCCTGTGACCACCATTAAACCCTTTACTGAGAGACCGCTGCAGGAGCGCCCGACCAATAAACTTTGACACAGTTTGTTTCACACAAAGACAAATCTGCCCCAGAAGTTTTATTGAAATCTGGAGATGAGCTGTGAACTTAGCCTGATGCATGTTTAAATCATAGAGCCATCATATTTTAAATGGAAGCGAACAAGGGTGAGTCTAAAGGAGGGTGTGGGGTGTACTAGACCAGATTAATTTGAAGGCTTTGTAACATTTTTCAGATTAAAAGTGGAAAAATATATAATATTGTATTGTTTTGAAAAACCTAAAAAATAAAAGCTTTTTTCACAAGACAATAAAAATTAATGTGAGCTAGTAAAACTGTGAGCTACTGACCGGAAGGATTTTAGGTTAAACACTGAATTATTCATGTCTACACCATCACAATAGAAACTTGCCTCCTATTAACATAAGAAAGCCTTCCAAGAAGAGAAAGGGTACATTTTAATGGCCTAGTTAAGGTTGTGTATATATCTTATATATTTTGCATTTAAGTCGATGTTTAATTAAATTAAATTGTAATCT